GAGATCACAACAGTCTCTACAGGTAAAGACCACAACAGTCTTTTGGAGGGTAAAGATTAAAGTGACTATCGAACTCTTAGCCCAATGACTCAAAATAATAAGCAGTTAATGAACATATATGGAGGTGGCTGTATTTTTCTGCATGTCTTTTCCCCTTTATCTTCGAACTTGATTACCCTAACATTCTCACCAACACCCAGTGTTTGTCTATATTACCCATCTTTACCTACTTAATGTCTACATATAGAGGGCCCCCCTTTGATGCACAGCAATTACATTAGTGCTTTCCATCTCAGACTTTGAGATTTCATCTTAATCTACCTGAGACACCTTCCAAGGAAACAACAGTGTATAATGGGAAGAGGTTTAGACATAGCATCATCCAACAGAAATACAGTGAGTAACACATGTGATTTTTAACAAGTGTACGTAGTCAAACTAAATGCTTGGCAACCGTTTGTGCCTAATACACCAGACAGCAGAGATTAGTATCAACTAAATCTCGATTCAAAGTCTAGGTGTACTGTTTAGTTGCCACTTACTTGCTGTAAATTTCATGTTGTTAAAAGTAACTGTCTCACAGACAGGCATGGTGTGGTATATACCTGTAATATTATCACTTTGGAAGGCTGAGGCAGGAGAATCTCAAATTCAAGTCCTATCTGGAAAGTTTAAGACACCCTGTCTCGAAATAAAAATACAAAGATTTAAAGGGGACTTGGAGCTCAATGGCTGAGCATCCATGGGTTTGATATCCAATACCATAAAAAAAAACCATCTCTAAGTATTATTATGAGAAGGAAATAAAATGGCATATTAACACACTTAGCACAATTTCTATATTTAGGGACACTCAATAAATGGGAAATCCCTCATTTTAGACTTCCACTCCTAAGCTTGATCTAGTCCTTCTTCTATCTCTTCCCACCTAGTACAAACTTTAGCCTTTTCCATCACCTACATGACGACTCTTCCCCAGCATCCCAGGAGCTATAGATTTTACAAGATGGCCATATTTCTAGAAGCCATGGACACTTCCAGTCATGATCTAAGTATGTGGCCCCATGCAACTAAAAACACTTATGCCTGGAAAAGTGACCCTACAGCCTCCTTCTCCTCTGCCCCTGCCCAGCTGGCCCTGTTGCCAGCTCAGCAGGTATTTCCCTATCACTCAGCAGCTACCAGGCCTGTGGCCGCCTCAGCAACCACTGTGGTTATCATTGCTTCTCAACTTGAAGAGAAACTGGTCTCAAATCTTAAAATGTTGAACATTAGTCTGAAAAAGAATTGGCCACTGTCCTTCAAAAGTGGTAAGGTCATACAAAAAAAAGTAAAAGAACAGACACAACATTAAAGAGATAGAGAGAGCTGAAACCTAAAATTTAACTATAATCTTGAATAGGCCTTTGGCCAAAAAAAAAAAAGTAGGGAGGCATTAGTCAAAAACTAGAGAGTGAGTTAGATCTACAGATTGGTTAATAATGTATCAATGTCAATTTTGTGGTTTTGATAATTATAGTACACTTTATATAATGTTAATATGAATGGATGGGTACATGGTAACTCTCCAACTCTCCATGTTATTTTTGTAGTATTAGTCCAACACTATTTCAAAAAAAAAAAGTTAAAATGCTTTTAATGTGATTATTTGGAAGTGCATTACAAAAGAGCTTCTGTCCCAACGGATTTCTTAAGTGATACATTATTGTGAAAGAGTGGTACTTACGTTAAGCCTGTTGCAATAAGGCCATCACACAGGTTAATGAAAAGTCAATTCCAAGGTATGGAAAATCCACCTTAATCGCTACTATTAGTTTGCAAATCCAGTAAGATAGGATGAGGCCACCTACATACACTCAGGAATACTGAGGGCTTAATTACAGCAAATCATATTTTGTATGAGCTGTAACTTTATTAAATAAATATAGCTTTTGAATTAACATTACAGACTAGCTTAAACAATAGCTTCCTTGGAATCAATACTTTACAGACAGAGGAAAAGATAGAGAGTCAAAGAACCATATTCCAATAGGCACCTGCTTCCCTCCTTCGACCTTTAATGCCTTAACTAAGAGCATTAGTCCATAAGCTCCAAACAAAACCCCCAGAAATAGAAAGGTATAATCTGTTCTGCTATATCATGTGTTTCTGTGATGAAGTGAATTCAGTCATAGATAATTTGCAAATGGAGAAAGGACTACAGTATAGTATAGAAGATGCATTGGTCGATATGTGATTTTCCCTCTACATCATTAATGCTTTTCCTAACAGCAACTGAAGGTCAAAGGAACCGCAGGCCACAAAGTTACTTTTAGAAGTAACTTACAAGGTTAACATTGACCTGTGTTAAAAAAAAATACACATTATTAAAAATAATTAAAAGTAACATAAAACAATAAAAGGATCATATACCTCTACTACCAAAGGATTTTTCACAAAGCTTACAACCTTTCTCTACTTGCAACTTACTGCTAATACCCATCCCTCTGCCCAGGTATCCACAGACAGCCTCAACCTGTCCTTGTGTCACCTAAAATCAGGTTACCTTTCCCCTTTTTATGTTCAATACCTTTTTTTTTAAGTACTTAACACAAAAAAGCTGAAGGTACTATATCACTGCAATTTATTTACTAGAATTTTATGTCTTCTAAACTATGTATTTTCATTGTGATTATTAGTGCTCCAGTTACAAGGGGGAATCAACTCTACTAATTTAAATATGAATTTGCAAACTGAAAGTTTTCCACAAATGCCTGTATACTACAATAGAAGTGCTAAAGCAGAAATACATTTCTGCACATTTTGACTGCATAAAATGCTATCCTGGGAAGTTTTAAATATTAAAATGTCATACTACCTTGCTTCCAAAGATTACTTATATACCAATAAAATGTATTAACAACAACTTATAAATAAAAATATTTATTATATTTTATATTATCTTTAAATTGAACATTCAGATATATATTTCTATATTTATTCCACATTTCTTAAATAAATAGGACATTGAAATTTAGTAATGAAAATCAGCATCTATATTAAGACCAGACTTTGCTTTTTTTAAGGAAAGAAAACATTCAGTGATGGTGGACACAGAAAAGCATTTATCAAACAAACACTAATCCTTTAAAATTATGTAGTCTATAGATTGTGTAAAACTATAAGTGTGTCCAGAAAGCATTTTCACTCTAAAATCAAATATATATTCTCAATACTATTTATCTGGCCTTTATAGTACTACTTCAGGCTAAAGGAGAATTTCATGCCAGCACTTAATATTTTTAATGATTAATTGTTGTTAAATGCAGTGCCAACACTGCAGCATTCTTTTATCTAAATGGCTCCTGCTAGCAATAAGCACTACAAAAGAAGCTATATACTCTTGTACATGACAAGGGCGTAGCATACAATAGACTTATTAAATATACATTTTACCTGGAGTAATTATCAATTATTATAACAATAATTTGAATATATTATAAAAGTCAATTTATATAATAAATATAAATTACTTTATTATTTACCACTATTAGAAGAATAGTATTATCTTTTCCATAAAATCTATGATATGTTAGAATATTTTCATGGACCCTTATAACACTGAATTTCATAGAGTCTTTTCAAACTTGTCATTGTCTATTCAAATGCACTTGCTTAGAGATAACATGTTTTCCATGGGAAAAAAAATACTGCACAATCGTCGGCTTACAGCGTGACCTCTTTCACTTGGGTGGGTATCTGCTCCATCGCTGACTAAGTGAGGATGTAACCTTGTCAAACCACAGGCAAAAGAATAATGAACATACCACAGGCCTTCCCAGCATGGAAAAGGGTTTTAAGGAGTTCCAGAAATACTACTCTGAATGACAAAATAAAAGAACACTTCAAAGAGTAGGTTAATAATGAAGAAAGCACTCAAAACCTGAGAGTATTTAATCCCCATCCCTGGAAGTCTGCCACACAAAGCTCCACTGAAATGTATTTAATTCATTAGCCACTAACCAGATCTGGTTAATATGTTTTCAAATGATCCCTGGTAGAACAGTCTTGAAGGACACGGACTTCAGAGTATTTCTTCAAAGCATTAACCAAACGTAAACCAAAAGTACATACTGCTCTGCTTCCACCAATTATAAATTATCTTCCAACAAGAAAAATCACTACAGTTCAACAGTAAGAAATGCAAATTGAAAAAGTCTTCAACAATAGGTTTTACCGCCACTAAAACAAACAACAGTAACACCTCTACATTATCTGCTAGCCCAGTCCACTGACCGCCATAACAGGGAATCAGACTAAAACATATTTATAAATAGCTGAAACCAGAAAAAAATTAAGCAAGTCCTGTTGCAGTCTTCTCAGTATGAATTTACTTTTAAAACAAACAAAAGCTCAAATCAAAATCATTCAAGTATGCACTAGGACTGGGTATTTTATCATCGTGTCAATTATGCACACTTTGACATTCCTTTTTCACAACTAAGACAACGATGACTAGTAACAAACAATATTTTAACAGAGAAACAGTGCCACCTTTTGGTCCCAAACAAAAGCCTCCAATACCAGTCTCCCAAATTTCTTTTCTCGGTTAACTTCTGACATACATAAATGTTACTAAATTTAATAGCATAATTATCTAAAAATCTTTGCTTTGAAAACCAAGAAAACATTGAGATAAAATGAAAGTTGTTTACCAACATGCAAAAACCTCAAAATATTCGGAAGTAATACCAAACACATACATTTTGGACCATCAATATAATTGCTAATCAATATTTTATCAAGCATTTTTTGCGAGAACTAAGTATGTCAATCAAATGATATATCTTAATTGTAAAAGAAAGTCTTTTAGCACTGTCACATCTCAAAATTGATTTTTTACAACACATATATTCAATTGTACTCATTAATTTCATAATTGGCCATCTGGTAATAACAGTGGATTACCAGTTAAATCAATAAAGATACAATCCAAATATGATAAAATTTTAATTACTTACACCAATGACACAATGTCACCACGTTGAACTTGAAAATTCCTTGCTTTCCAGTGGTTCAAAAGTACAACATCGGATGTCTGGCTTCCCCCAGGATTCAAAGAAGGCTAGAAAATAAGGAGAAAGACACATCTATCATTTGTATTTTTCAATCTTCATGGTTCCTTGCACTTCATAGCTTGAGTGAAATGCAATAAAACATTTCTAATATAGTACCTTTCAATAAATCGTTGTTCTAAAGTAACTGCAAATGATGAGTTTTCAAAAAGGCTCACTGGGATTCCTCACACATGAACCAGAAAAAAATAAATTATCAATACTTATTTGAAAAGAAAGTGTTCTAGATATTAAATTTCTACTAAACTTTTGTAAAGAAGAATGGAAAGCTTTACAAAGCATTAAAAACATGAGAAAAAAATGACTCAATCTACCCAACAAAATATTCAGAAAGGATCCACTTGCACTTTAGTACATATCATTGTTTCATCTGGGGGGAAAAGGTGATCATTTCAAATCAGCCAGTGAAAACTCACAAAGAAAAAAAGCTACAGGGGACAGACAGAAGGGAAAGGATAGCCACTGAAAATGTGGAGTGCAGCTTCCCCCACCTTCACCTTTTTAAGCATTCATGCTAAGAATCATATGAGTCTTGCTGTGCCTAAAGACGGAGCAAGAATGGAGCAAGGCAGAGCAAGAACTGAGAAGCATTTGGTGTAAGAACCCATCCAAAAGCATCGCAAAGTACAGCACTCTAAAACAGGAAATTAAAGAGGACATCAGAAGATGGAAAAACATCCCTGTTCCTGACTAGGCAGAACCAATGCAGTCAAAATGACCATACTACATAAACTAACACAAAGATTTCACAAAAATATAATCCAAATACCAACAGCACTCCTCACAAAACTGGAGAAAACAATCCTAAAATTCATATGAAATCAGAGGAGACCAAGAAAGAAATCTTGGGCAACAAGAGCAAAGCAAGAGACATGACAATTCTAGAACTGAACTTATATTAAAAAGCTACTGTGATAAAAACAGCACAGTATTACAGTAGCACAAAAACAGACATGTGAATCAATGGAACAGAATAAAGGCAGCAGAAAAAAAAAACAGGAATATTCATCAATCTAATCTTAGACAAAGGAGCCAAAAACATACACTGCAGGAAAGATGACTCTTTGAAATCTGGCTACCCACATGTAGAACACTGTTAGGCCCATATATCTCATCATGAACCAAATTAATATCAAAGTGAGGAAAGATTTAAATGTTAAAATCTGCTGGAAAATAAAATAAGTATAATTCCTGAAGACACAGGTATAGACAAGAAGTTTCTAAACCAAACCCTAATGGCAAAAGAAATAGTACCAAGACTCAGCAAATGGGACTATATCAAATTAAAAAGCGTTTTTATAGCAAAAGAAACAAACAACAGAGTGAAGAGACAACCTACAGAATGTGACAAAAATTTTGCCATATATTCCACCAAAGACCAAGATCCCGAATATATAAAGAACTCAAAAAATTAGGCTCCTCAAGTGAAATGAATATATATTTATCAGGAGAAAAAAATGCAGTCAATAAATACATGAAAATGTGTTCAATATCACTGGCCACTAGAGAAATTAAAAATTAAAAAAAACACACATCTTACTCTGGAAAGATTTCATCAACATGAAATCAAATGATAACAAATGCTAGTGAAGCTGAAACGAAAAAGGAGCCCTTCTGCACTGTTGATGGAGTATAAACTAGTATAATCCCTGTGAAAGTCAGTATTCCCGGAAGAACAATGAAGAGAAATTGCATTTGATCCAGCCAGTCCCCTTCTAGGTATCTTCCCATGAAAAGTTAAGATATCATATTACTGAGATACATGAATACCTTTATTTATAAGAACACAATGCATAATAACTAAATCTGAGAAACAGCCCAAATGGCCATCAAAAGATAAGTGAATAGGAAATGTGGTTTCTATACAATGGGAGCACAACTTTGCCATAAAGGATATAATTGAGTCATTCATAAGTAAACTGTAACACCTTGAGACCATACTGTTCGATGAAAGCAATCACATATACAAGCTTAAATATTACATAGTGTCTCTCATATGAAAAACCAAAATATAAATAAAGAGCAAAAGAAAAGATAGACAATAGGAAGTAGGGAGATCTTTCACAAATGGGAAGAGGATCTATAGCTAGAGAGGAAGAAAGGAAAGGAGATGAAAAAAATTGAAAAGGAAACATCTTTTGCAAGTGGGAAAGGAACTAAGAGAACAAAGGAGTAGGGAGGGAAAGGAGAGGGAAGGAATACAGAAAGAATTAAGATCTGCTGTACACACATAGCCCCATCACAATAAGTGTAATCATTATGTACTACAAACATGTACTGATAAAATAAAGACTAGGAACCATCAGGTATAAAGATCGATTAAGGAACCATGAAGCTTACACATCTGCCATCTGGGTGGGATACAAACAAAGCCAATGGATACACAGTCTGAGACCTGAAGTGAGCATGGAGGGACAGAAAAATGAGAACAACTAAGAGAGTGTTGTCAGCCGAGAATGTCAATGTGGGAAGCAGCCCTTTCTGTGGCAAAGGGAGAGGCCGCACACCAGGCTGTCTCTCTTCACTGAGCAGCTGAGGGAGCAATAAGAGGAGACATAGTCACAGCAATCAGTGCATAGGAAGAAGTCAGAACAGCCAGTCACTACAGCACCAATGACCTACTCTTGCTTAAAGGTTTCTGGAATCACTGGTAGATTTTCTACCACACATCATATTTCAAGAACAGTCATCATGCAACTCACCATATACCTACTCCAAACAGTCTCTCACTCTGAAGGCAAGGATTCCATTTCTTTCTTCCATGATCTTCAGCCACTAACTTAACTTTATAATGCCTTTCTGTAGTAGTACACAGTGATAATTAGTAACTATTATAGTACCTAACAACTAAATAACAGCTAGAACTTACAGTGCTTACCCTGTGCACTATTCAATTAATAATTGCCAAATTATCTAAGTGATTACCATGTGTAAGACAAAACCTAAAGGCTTTAAAAATACTTATTTGAAGATAATTCACCAAATGCTAATAATACATGTTTATCCATAGTTAATCTCTCAATAACTTTTATATAGATACACTGAACCAAAATTTAACTATGGGCCATTGTGGACCCTTTCTCCAGCTCCTTCCTTGCTCCATCCCTAACTGAGAAACAGAGTTGATACACTGGATAAATCCAAGAGATTTATTGGGTCATCATGCTGGGGAATGGAGTGCAAGTCATCACAAGAGTATGGTCAGGTTAAAAGTTGAACTGACACAGAATTCACTCTCCCTGAGTCATATTCTCTATCTCCCTCCACTCTGTGTCTTAAATTCTACACCTTGAAGGTCTCCACTTATTTCTTTTTGTATTCTTCCCCTTATAAGCTCATGTAGTAGAGGTGGCCGGTAGGGAGACAGTCTGGCCTCTAGATCATAAGACCAAATGTCTGTCATTGTGCTTTCCACTGAATTCATTTTATTCCTTACCACTAGAATGATGAAGAACAAAGGTGACTGAAATCTGCCTGATTGTCTTCCTTAGTCCCTTTAATTTTTAGTGTTTTTTTTAAAATCTGTGATAACCCATAATAAATACTTTAAGCACTAGTACATACATGTACACACATCTGAATAAAATTTCACAAAACAATTACCCTTACTTCATACACCCTTGTTATTTTCTATTCTTTCCTAGTCTATACTTTAAAAATTCTGTCTGCATCCAACTATACTTTTTATTCACAACACTGATTGTGCAACTTGCTTATAATCCAATGTCAAAATCATGCTTTACATGAGTGTTCTTCAACTACAGTCCTAAAGTTGCTTTTCCCCAGAATGATACTTTATTTCATCTCCTATCTCTAAATGATTTCTCTAGAAAATCTCATTGATATTTCCAATGTCAAATACCACTGATACACTCATAATTACTAAATGTAGGGTCCCCAAAGTGACTTTCTCCTCGTCTATTCTAAATCCATAATACTTGATACTATGACACTGAGTACATTATAATGTAATTTTTGTTTTACTTGTTAGTCTTTACAATAATCAAGAAGCACTTTTTAACCATTACTATAATGCCCTAGGTAAAACTGTAATATAACCTCAACTACATTTCTGAACTTCAAGTGTATACCCCAACTCATTGTTGGGCAGCTCAAGTGATCAAGTCATTCCTCTGCTTAAAATCCTGGTTAACTTTAACACCATCTTTAATTTAAAGGACATAACATTGAGTTACATAAACATAAACCATACTTTTCTAATGAAAATTTGTACTTTAGCATTATAGTAGCCAGCTCAGTCACTGCACCTAGGAGATATGAGAAGCAATCCTTGTACTTATTCACTTGGTAAGATGAACAGCAAGACATGTGCATGTGGGCAAAAGTGATTTTAAGCCACATAATACTCTACATAACATTTTTGTATATGGTTCCTTGAGCATCGCAGTGGGTAAAATACACCCACAACACTCTTCTGTTCTGAAAACATGTACCATACCATAGTGGAATGCGGGTGTGGCTCACAGTAGGTCTGGGGAAAGCAGGAACTCCTGGTGCTTTCACCCACTTGGCAGACAAATGGCAGAGTATGTCCATGAGCTCCAAAGCAGCAGTGGGTGAGTTTTACCCAGGAAATGCTCATTGCTAAATTTCGGTAAATTTAGGATTTGTTTTTTAAGTTTTCTTTTAATTTTTCTGGTAGAAGTAATACTTGAGTACAATGGACAATGAAAAACCAGACATGCAAGTTTTAGAGGAAGCTCAAAGTGAATCCTTAGATTACTCATGTAGGGACTATGATGATGGTAATGATGATGCTGATTTTGACAGTGATCATGTGAGTCAACGTTCCTGTGACTGTGAAATGGAGTAAAAATCAACCAACACAGATCCAGGGAACATAGACCTCCTTGATTCAGATGACAAAGAAAACAGCAAAGTGAGTACATATTTGACTACCCAAAAGGTACAAAAAGGACACACAGTGAAATGGAATGATCTAGTGTTAGAGCCAGGTCAGAAAATACAA